TAAATCCTGTATAGTGATTTATCCTATATAGTGCTTGCATATAGCAAGTAGTGCATACACTTGCAAGCCCCCCCCCATAAAATAAATAAATAAAGTGGGCTCCCCCAAAGTCCACGGTACAGTTCGAACACTGGTTGGGGGTAATATATTACAAGTAACGCAAGTTACGTAATCAGATTACTAAATATGAATATGCATTAATTCATCTCACTCACAAATAATAATAAAATAATGCAACTCAGAATATGACGCAAACCTGCAATAATTCAATGTTAAACAACACAAATATGCTTTATGTATTTATTCCCATTCCATTAACCAATGTCTTTGCTTCTGACCTTCGATGATCCAGTTAAACCGTACTAATAAGCACAAATTACTCTAGATGAACATTTGTGTGTCTTTTTTTATTGCTGAAGTGTGTTGAAATTTCTTCTTCTGCATTCTACTGTACGGATGTAAATGTGCTTTCCCTTCAGCCTGAGGCTTATTCATTTCACTTTTGGTGTGAAAAGGCTTTTATATTTGCCAAAAATAGAACTTTTTTATTTTAAAAACAAACAAGCAAGCCCTGTCCAGATTTAAAAAGTAGCCGCAAAAGTAACATAACGCATTACTTTCCATAAATAAGTAACTAACGTAATTAGCTACTTTTTTATGGAGTAATGCAATATTGTAATGCATTACTTTTAAAAGTAACTTTCCCCAACACTGATACTATACAATACTATATATGTGTCAGAAGTGATTTTTGTATAAATATTGTATGTTTAGTGACATCTGGTGGAAAATACAGGAACATTCTGACTGACTGCTTCACTCGTCTCTAAACCAGGAATCTTCAAACTTCAAGAACTCTTTCATAAATAAAGAGACAAATGCTGTATACTGCATACATTTGAGTGTTTCGTTTTAAGCCTATTAATGCATTTACATAATATACTTTATGTTTACATTATTAATGTAGGCTAATTCAAAATTTTGGATGAATTTTTAACTAATACCTTTGGGAGGGACAATAAAAAAAATGTAGCCAAACTTCTTGAGTTGATGTAATATTGTACTTTAACACGTGTGCATGCTTGCTCTAAACTGAAGGATATAATGTTTTTAGGTTCATTTGAGGTCTACAGAAAAGTGGTGAGTGTGAATTCTCTTGAGGTTGTGGTGAATTGGCCTTGTACAGCCTAAGCACAGCTCCCGATACTGAAAACTGTACAGTCAGCATTGTTTCTATGATACGTTATCACTGTCATCCAACCACACCTTCTGTTTAACTCACAAAGAAAAGCATGCCTGCATATAATATAATTTACTGTTAAGTAAATAAACAGTGGATGCAGCATTGCTAGGCTGCTACAAGTTTCCTATATTAGGTCAAGACTTCAATGTAAATGGGAGGCAGGTTTTAAACTATGGAAGTCATAGTGATAAGCCCTAGGAACGGGTCATGTTGTTTCAGGTCAGAGTCAAAGTCCAATAACAACTGGCCTGGTTCATGTTGAGTCAGAGTCAAAATGACCCAGACCCAAAGGAAATGTGGTTTCGCTATGTATATACAGTACATGCAAAATATATTTATAAAAGACTTACATTCAGCCAAATTCAAGGACAATAATATATAATAGCTGATCTATAATAATTACTTGTGGAAACAGAGTTCTCTCTAAAATGACCTACTCTGAAGTGCTGAAATATGGAGATACACGGAGATGCCATATTAGTTTCAATGATAGTCACAGACATACATATGTATTGAAAGGCCACATGGATAGGAATTAAACAGGTCAGCCACTATATGAACAGATGGCCATTGACTAATGCATCAATAAGTGTGCTATATGGAACACATGCATCTAATGTATTTTGCTTGGCCACAGAGGTGCACCGAAAGCACATCAACAAATTACAGATATTCGGATTCAGACCAAGATACTTGCTTAATGCTCAAAACATTTCCTGCAATCCAGAAGGTCAAGCTGATTTACTTTAGTACTGGTTAGATGCAGAAGAACCAGAACTCATAGCGAGGTTGTGCTTCCTTCTTGTGGGTTTAATGGTAGATGGTAAATCATATTTTTCCTCATTTTATCTCCCTGAGCAGATCCTTGGAGATCAATCAGTGTCTGAAAGCGAGAAAGAACCAGGTGTGTGTGTGTGTGTGTGTGTTAAAGTTCACAGGATTCAGTTACTGCTTTTATTGAGTGACATTAAGACACTTCATAGGGGTGTTTGAAGTGAAAAATGTTTGATATGTAGCCTGGCCGTATCTTTCCTGTGGGATTGAGTGATCCACTGCTGTAGCATCTGTTGCTCTGAGTTTATCATGATACTTTGTGGATAGGCCTATAGACACATTTAGACATTTTACATAAATGTACTCTACATTTATGCATTTGGCAGATGCTTTTTATGCAGAGTAACTTACACTGCATTCCAGGTATACACTTTATCAGTTCATAACCCCTTATCTTGGCATTGCTACTTCACTTAACATGTTACTTGTGATTAAAATGAAAATGTATTATAGTTTAAACTTATAGTAAATGCAGTTAGTTAAACTTAGGATCAATCAGTGTCTGAAAGCGAGAAAGAACCAGGTGTGTGTGTGTGTGTGTGTGTGTTAAAGTTCACAGGATTCAGTTACTGCTTTTATTGAGTGACATTAAGACACTTCATAGGGGTGTTTGAAGTGAAAAATGTTTGATATGTAGCCTGGCCGTATCTTTCCTGTGGGATTGAGTGATCCACTGCTGTAGCATCTGTTGCTCTGAGTTTATCATGATACTTTGTGGATAGGCCTATAGACACATTTAGACATTTTACATAAATGTACTCTACATTTATGCATTTGGCAGATGCTTTTTATGCAGAGTAACTTACACTGCATTCCAGGTATACACTTTATCAGTTCATAACCCCTTATCTTGGCATTGCTACTTCACTTAACATGTTACTTGTGATTAAAATGAAAATGTATTATAGTTTAAACTTATAGTAAATGCAGTTAGTTAAACTTAAGTATTCTTTATTTTTATATATATACTTCTTTCATAGATATCTATGCTGTCTTTGAAATATGAGTAAAGAGTACTGCCAAATGTACCGACAAGCATTTATGGTAACTAAAATATGTTTTAATGTATTCTATTGAAATGTAAAACGTTCTATTGACATCGTTGCAATATAGTACATTTAAAATGTATTTACTTTAAATGTAATATCAGATAACAAGTACTTTACATGTGCTTTAGTATGTAAGTCAACACATTAAAATGTGTATTTTTATAATGCACAACAAAAGATTATTCAAACATAGTGTTTAAAATGAACTTGTAGAACATTTGATTTGACATGATCAGAAAGTGCATTTTTATTTCATTAATATTATATTTTCTGCAAATAGTAAAAAAAAAAAGACAAAATCTACTTTTTGAAGTACACTACAAGTGCACATTACATACATTTCTTTTGTACAAGCATATCTCTGCAACCCTCAATTATTAGACACTTTTCCTTTAATTATTGATTTAATTTTACTGAATGAATCAACTAGTCATAACATACACAAAAAGACTTCATGCAACTTAAACATCAACAAACCAAAATAATTAATTCAAATGTTTACATTTTTTAGATGATTTTTTTTTTTTTTTTTTTTAAGTTAAAGTCACATCTTTGAAGATATCACTGAGCAAATAATCAGTCCAGCCTCCCTCTGCATTAGAACTATAGATCTTTAATGTTATGTTTTCTCTGGCCTTTGTCGTACTTGTTTTGGCAGACGGCTCAGTGTCTCTGTGAGTCAGCATGAATGTGCTTCCACTGAGATCAGCCAGAGTTGCTCTCAAAAAACCCTGAACCCTTTTTATTCAGGCTGTTGAAACAAGACACATTTCATGACCACCTGATCTCTGCTGACCTCTGTTAAGGCTTATGAAAGTCCGTCATTTAGCTCTCTCTTTTTTTTAATCTATCTATTAAAAGCAGCAGGATGGGTCAATGACTTCACGGTTATCTGACCAGATCAACAGATATCAGAGCAATTTTAACATGATATTCTCATATGATAAAGTAATTTATCTTACAAACCAAATTCAAGGTCAATAATGTAACAAAATATATTAATTAATTGCTGGATAAGGAGATGGACAGGTCAGATGGTGAGCTTTTTGTATTACGATCTGAGAGGTGTTACATTACAAATCACGCATTTCTATACTATATATATATATATATATATATATTTAACAAATTAAATAAAAATGGAAATGCAATTAACATAAAATATGGGTGCAAACAACAGCTCCTCCACCTCCTAAAGATTCTCTCCTCTTGTAAAGGACAACAAATAATACACAATTAACTGGTTCATATGAAGTCAAATAAAAAATAAATAAATAAATGTGAACTACAAAGTCAAAATATTACTCAGTCTTTTCCATTAGTGATTTTCCATTCTGAAATTTTAAACACATTTGCTTTGTGAGGCATTTACAGAATGGGACTGACACCATTGATCCATAATTCATCACTTAATTAGTCAGTGAAATCGTTATGTAAAAAAGAGTCAGATGAGACCTCATTCCTGTTAATA